CAGTATTGTTCCCATGTTGGAGAAAAATGCCTTCAGCAGTCATTTGTATTCAGTCCAGGCTGAAGGCGCTACGGTCTAAGTGGTGAAACGTGCTGACAGTAAAGATTTTTTTATCGGTTCCATTTGATGCTCTGAACCATGATTCATACAAACACCTATTCCAAAATGATACTTTCTGAATAGGTTGCTTGAATTCTTTGCATCGGGGAGGGGGGAGAGCAAAGTTCTTCATCGCCATAATCTTCAGTGTTTACTCCACACATAATTTTAGTAAAAGTTTGAAACCCAGAAACTTACTTTTCAGATCGAGCGAGATCTAGCAAAAGATTTTGTTCCCTGAAGATTAACTCAACTCGATTCGAAAATTCCGAGTTTTCGGACCTTGAATGAGCCTTATATGTGGGGAAAACCCTTTGAAGATTTCGCCATAAATAAATATTTTAAATTGAAAACAATTTTGTCGATTAATTCAGCTTCTATCTCAAGACGAGAGCGCATGTTAACGCAAACGCAGCACAGACATATCAGAGACAAAAAATTACCATGCCTGAATGGTAATAAAGATCTCTGGTACTGTTCCGTATTCGCAAGCATATTTGCAGACCATGGTGCTTACGAATTTGTTGCACTTTTCCACTTGTTCTGGCACCCTTGAGTTATGTTTCGCCAAGCCGCTGGTTTCTTTCAAAAATTTTGATGCGGAAAACCAAACGGTTCCAGCAGTTAAGGCGCTGATCTCCACAACCTATGCTTGTCAGCTGTGCCAGAAACCGTTAGAATTTGATGCCCGTCAGTCAAAAGTTGAAAGATGGTGTAAAACAGCAGTATAAACCGAATGCCCTCCCACGATCCAAAGAACTTGCAACTATTGAAACGAGTAGCTTGGGAAAAGGCCCTTACACTAAATCGAGTGTCAGTCACTTCCTTACATAAACTGATTGCCTTGTAAGCGCATTCCCATATTTCTGTTGTCCAACTGGATTAGACGAGCTTGGCTCTTATCACGTCCTCTGAGAGAAACATAATGTACTTAAAAAAAGTATTAGTATGGAATGCACTCAAAGAAGCAAAATAAAGTGACTCGATATAATAAAAGCTGCGTGAGGTAAAGCCTGTCGATGAAGCACTAAGGCCACATGAAAAAGACATATAAATGACGATGCAACTTATATTACTGTTTGTCTTAGTTTAAACTTTTTTTGCATACAGATTAACGGTTAGTTCTCAACTGAATTCAATGCTTCTGATGCAGATTTTCCTTATAGCCATATCATTTCATAATTTACGAGTCGTTGGGCATGAGTCTTTACTTGAAAAGGTATGCTCTTGGCCTGTACAACTGGTTAGTAGTTTTAGGCAACAGGCTTGACGATGCTAGTCGAATCAGTGCAAAGTTCTTATCCTTTGTCCCGGTTGACATATTCGCGGGATTGAATAATTAATGCCTCTTAAATACGCCTGTTCAGTCAGTTTTTTTCTTTGACGATGCTAGAGAAATCTGAACAGTGGGGAGCGTGGCCTTTCTCGATTGCGTGCTGCACAATTCCGAAGGTCTTTTCGCATTATTCTTTGAATTGGTTAGAGGCGAGACTTTGTTTTCTTCCTGAGTGCGTTCGAATACGAAAATCGAACTTCTCCAGCTTGACAGGTGAGTCCTTGTTTTTGAGCGATAGAGTGGATGACTCTAAACGTTACAACAGCATAACACAGGGCAGAGTGAAATTCGGAAATCAGCCCTATCCACCTTGAAGAAGGACCCCTGAGATACGAGCCGAAACGTCCGTGCTGGTTAATCACCCAAATGACCAATTACTTGTGCTATGCATGAATAAACCGTGTTTCTACAGTTTTAAAATAAAAATTAGGTAATGAAACTGGGGCATTATGAAGGATTACAAAAATACAGATAAAAGTAAAATGTACATGCAGTAAACTCGATCATCGTGCGTAAAGATGGAGAGGAAACACGAAGTACCAAAAAACATGTATAGCGCCAAAACGATTTGTTTAAAAAGACCTGCATAAAGACATCACAGGAACAAAATAAATCATTTTTTCCCACAGAGTCATCAAGTTTCGACATAACGAATAGCCGTACTGTTTATAATGCTTTCAATTTTATCAAGCATTATTATTGAAATTTTGTCTGATAAAAAAGTTACTGAAATTCATTCTCTTCTAATATCTGCGGAAGAAGGTATCCATTCGCTGCCTGCTAGTATAATAATTAATGATCCTCAATCCATTCTTCAAATCAACAATTCAGTTCGTTGTGTTGTGTTGTATCTAAAATAATAAATTAATTCAATGACCACAGTCCAATAAACGCTGAGTAAAGATCAAAACTGACCATTTCGACTACTTGTAATGACCTATCGGTCGAGAAAAAATTATATTTAAGATGGGTCGCAATCAAAAAACGTTAGGAGACATTCATATAGTCAGTCGGTTCAGTTCAGTTTCAGTGACCACGCATCCTTCGGGATTGCTGAGGCACTCGCGTCAGCGATTGTCTCCAACGTTTCCGATCATATGCCAGCGTTTGAGCTTTGGCAGAAGATAACGCGAGTTTGCAGCAGAATCCTTCAATATATATAAATATAGACATCATTAATCTGAGTACTCTGTCATGACCTTGCAACTGCAACAACTTCGGTTGGTCGGTTGGGCAAGTAATAGTTGCTTTGCCTTCCTTTCTGAAGGCATTCACAACACATGCCCAATCCATCACTTCTAAATCTGAAGAAGCAGCGGCTGCATACCAAGACTCTCGCGGATGTCTGTGCCCCAAACCATGTTCCAGACGCGTGAACTCGGCGATTCATCTCAGAAACCTCATTTCAACCGTTTGTACCGGGCATCGAAATTTTCTAGTCATGGTTCACGACTCATGGCCATCGGTAAGCAAGCGATGAAAATCGACCTGAACATCGAAAGGTTAGTCTTCACGTTCAACCGTAATTTTGTCACAGAAGTTCCAGCTAGTTCGAACAGAACGCTACTCCAATCTACCGGTTGATTCCTTCCTCAAATTTTCAACCATCGGTAAGCACGACTTAGATGTACTTGAACTTCGCAACCTGCATCACTGCTTTTCCATTTGCCTGAAGAGAGCAGCGGGTAGGAGAATGAGAAAGCATTAGGCTTTTCGTTTTAGACACTTTCAACACGCATGCCGGCTAGGTCGCATTCTGCTGCGAACCTTTCTAGAGAGCGCTGTAGATCAGTTTCAGAAGATGCCAACAAAACTAGGTACTCTACAAACAGCACAGTTACCGTCTCTACATCTCCTACGCTGATACACACGTCATCTCAGATAGGCATTGACTTTAAAATAAAGTTCATAAACAATACTTGCCTATCATTTGTGAACTAACAATTTGCTACCACTACTGGCAGTTAGAGATACGAATTTTTTATTGTTTATAGCAGTTAAGCATATACTCAGATGTGCCCCACCAACGTTGAATCTGGAGTAAGATCCAATGACGCACCTAGAGTTAATTAATCACTTGTGAAGTACGTGGTCACTTAGTGCAGCTGCCCCAGTTTAGATAACGAACCTCAGTGAGCAGCAGGATCGCTGCTTTCCTTGATAATGGGTTCTGTCATATTGGGGTTATTGTTAATTTCAAGCATGAGCGAATCAAATTAAGTGTCCCAAAGCCCAACTACTACCCATCTACATGCACTAATCAGAAACGAATTTGTCGAAGTTCATTTTGTTTATTCACTAGGTATAACCAGTACTACAACGACTCGCTGTCAGAATGCGACTGTAATCCAAAGCATAATGCCGAATTGGCTATCTCCAGCCGAGGCGATCTGAATCCGCCAAATGGTACCTATCCATTTGATGAATTACACTGCCGCTCACATGGTGGGACAGATGTAAAGGTAAGCATAATCCAGTTGTATGATACATGCTGCAACACCAAATGATTCTCTTTTTGAAGCTTTATATTCATCATTACTAGTTATTTCTCACAAAAAAACAGCTACAAAACTGGCGTTATTCATATTCCATCTGTTTCTTTTGAAAGGGGGACATAAAAGCAACTTTTTCTGCCCAATGTTTTTATCCGCTGCTATATATGCACACAAAATCACTCATATTTCTCAATATGGTAAAATTGAGCCGTAGAGGTGGCCTGTTTAAACTGTCTCATCCCCAGAGGGCACTAGAAACAACGGGACAGTGCAACTACAACGTACGAATCCGCAGAAGTGATAGGAGAAGATAAAGTTTGTAGTGAATTGCTCTATAGATAGGTAGTCAAACGAGTCCTGGCTCACAGCCAAACACAACAGATGGTAAAACCGTTTATTGCCAAACCGTTTCACTACATAGACCATCAGGGCTGGGATGAGTAAAATGACTGCTAGAAGACACTTATGTCCAACAAGCGAACAGCACTATTTTCAGTTGGATCATACTTTACTATCAAAACCATGTTAAACTGACTGAACCGAATGTGGTCCAAAAACCACAGTGTCATGTTGTAATCACCTTGAAATAACCGGATCATTCTGATGTTGACCAGATTTTGCGTATGAATTTTGCGACTGAGACTCAACTTTCACTAATAATTATGGAAGATCTGCATTCGTTGCACATTCGGTTTTTCATTGGCCGTATACGCAAGGACTCCTGTATCAGCAGGCCTAGTACAGAATGGTCCTGATCAATAACAGACATATTGATCTCACCGAAAGAGAGCCCTTCCGTGACTGCATGCCAGGCCATGCCAAAACTGTCCGCTTCTCCAAGGCAGACTGCAGAAAAGTACTCTTCGATCCAGATGTTCAAGTTTCAGTTAATCTCATCATAGTACACTTGATCACGTTCTCCGCAATTAACTCTGTTTACAACATTTAGCATTTCTTCCAGAGTAATGGGCATCTTCTTCATCTTCATATTCCATAGCCGTTTCTCATTTCACGATGCGGTGGCAGTCACGTCAGACAGTGTTTCCACCGTTCCCCTGCTGGAGTGTGCGCTTCGGCAGAACACTACCGGAGTACAGAGCACATAATACTTATATTTGCACCACGTTAATTTCAGCCGTCTCTGGGCCTTCTACCGGTCGGCTGGGCAAGAACTAGTTACTTCATCTGCCTTCCTGGCATCAATCGCAACACGTCCCTAAACCATCGCAGATGTGACTAATCAATCTCACGAAGCAGCGGCGTAACACCAAAGCTGTTGCTGATTTCTGTACCCCTAATAACGTCAAGACACATAAGGCCAGCGACTCGTCTCAGAAGACCCTTTTACAACATCTGTATCCGCGATCGAAGTTTTACAGTCAAAGTGACCGCAGATGAGCATGGGGATGAAGATCGACTTGGACAACAAGAACTTCAGACAGCTCTGACTTAGTCACAATAGTTAGGGCTCGTTCAAGCAGAGAGCCACTGACCATTCCAATCTGCCGGTCGATCCTTTCCTCAAACATTCCATAACCAGTAAACACGATCAGGAGGTAATTCAACTTCTTCATTCAATCTACTCCTTCACCGATTACATGAAGAATGAAGCGGGCAAGACAAGGCTGTAGAGCACACGCCGTCGCATTCGACAGCGAACCATTTCAGCGAGCACTGTAGATGAGTTTCTGAAGATACCAACAAAACAAGGTCGTCTGCAACTAGCTACCTTATCGTCTCGACAACCCCTACGTTCATCGCCCTATCTGCGCCTGATCATTGCGTCCATGTAAAACACAAAAAAGAGAAAGGACAGAACACAGCCTCGACCGAGTCTGCTAATCGATTTGACGCCATTTACTCTGACGCAGCACCTGCTATCAGAAAAACGATTGGATGGCCCGTTGCAGCTGGTCATCTATCTTGTATGTTCGCAAGCATGATCACAGAATGCT